AGGGGGGAGAAAAGGAGAACTTAAAGAAAAGTTTTAGAGAGAAGGATTCTGGGTCAGGAAGCTTGCTTTTGGAAGATGGAGGTTCCCGGGTTGAGCTTCGGAAGGAAATTCCACTTCTTCTTAGCTCTTGGCAATGCTGAGCCAATCTTCAGATTAGGTAAGCTTCATGCATTGTTTTCCTTGAAAATGGTTAAGTTGTTGGGTGTGGATTGAGTTAAAAAGTTGGGTTTTGTTGTTTGAAAGAAAAGATTGATTTAAATTATTGGTTGCATGTAGTTGTTCTTGTGTTTCAGAAGTTGTTTATAACGTGGTTAAGTTGCTAAGTTGCTTGATGAAGATGAGTTGAGTAGTTGTTGACATACGTTGTTTATATGTTGTGTATTTCGTGAAACTAAGTGGTTTTTATGTCGTTAATTGTTGAATTATTAATAAGTTGAGATGTATAAGTTGAAGTAATTCATTATTGTAAAGTTGATATTGTGTTGACTGTAATTGTTTAAATTGAGTAGTATAAAGATGTCTATTGCTGTAAAGTTGAAAATTGTCTATCGTTGTAAGATGTTTATTGTTGTATTGTTGTAAGTTGCCTGTTGTTGTAAGATGTCTATAGTTGTATTGTTGTAATTTACTTATAGTTGTTAAGATGTCTATTGCTGTAAAGTTGTTAAGATGCCTATTGTTGTAAAGTTGTTAAGATGACTATTGTCGTAAATTTGTAAAGCTGCCTATTGTTGTAAAGTTAGAAAGTTGGAGACATATGGTGAAGATATATGTCCTATGTTGAGATACATAGTACTAAGGTGATAAGTTGAAATTTGTTTTAAAGTTGAATCCGTTAGTACTGTGTGGGCAACATGGAAGTAGTCGATCCATGTCATGATTGAATGACCAATTTGAGTAAGGTATCTAGTTAGAGATGTAGTCTTTGACTAGGTACTGGAGGGTGTGTGGTACTTGGAGGACAGTGGGTGGGCTAACTCCATATGTGGATTGGTGATGCTAGCCAAGGCCGTGGTAGGCTCATACCCAAACCCTTCTGTCCTGATAGTAGTACTGGACCTCCGAGTCTAAGTGGCACACCTGAGCAATCACCTATTATTGTCTATACCTGGTTCTCTTCGGAGTTCCTAACGCTATTCTATACCTGACCTGGTTGAGATAGGTCAAATGCTGAATTCGGTAGGGTTTATGCCACCTAGACTACTCAACCTCAGTTGTTGGAGATCTCCTAGTTGTATATGTGTGACGATGCATTAGTTGATGTTGCATGAGTTGCTTTATTCAAGTTGTATATAATGTTGTATGAATGAGTTGATAGTTGAGCTATTGTGATAAATACTATGTGATTGTATTGTGATGAGTTGTTGATCACTAGGACTAGAGGAGAAGTTTTCGAAGTTGCTCATCCCATTGTGCGGATTGAGATAGTTGTGGTGCTCTAAGAGCCGAATTTGTTTAAAAACCCTCCTTGGAAAGTTGTTCCTTGGAGTGGATGATGTGTTGTTCTCCTCTAGGACTTGGTTGGTCCCGTGTGTGGGCAAGGTCGAGGCACACGTGTATGAAGTGACCACGGTATAGGGGTCAGGCCGAGCTATACCGATTACAAGCAACCAATTTGAATAAAGTGTGATGTGTTGAAAATTTTGTTGCTAGTAGATGATATTGTATATCTATTGTTGTAGATGTTGTGTTGCTTTAAGTTGCAAGTTGAAAGTAGAATTCTATTGTTGTATGTTGATGCTATTTTTTTTATGTTTATTATTGTGAGCTTACCCTAGCGTGTTTTCCCTATGTGGTTGGGACTGTGATGACCATACCTTGGTATGTGAGCAGATCAGGATAGGTGCTCTGTTGGACTGGGTGAGCTTCGAGACTCAGGAGGAGGGCTAACGTTGTAATTAGTTGATTGGTAGCTTTTGACTACCTAGTTGTTATATAGGGTATTATTTCCTTCCCTACATTCAGTTATATATATTATGAGACTTTTTAGTTGTGTATTCTCATTATATATAAAATTGTTTAGTAGTGAGATTTTATTTTTATACTTATATTTGGACGCTATAGACAGTGTGAGGCCTGGTGGATCATTCACAAATAATACTTAAAATATTATCTAAATCACTTTTTTAAAATTAGAAAGACTAAAATAGAAATAATTTATTTTTTGGAAAACTAAAACCAAATTTAAAAAATTTAGAGAGATAAAAAATATATTTTATCTTTTTTAATTAAAAAACTCAATCTTTTCTTATATCAAACTACTCAAATAACTGGACTAGACTTCTCTTATTTGATGCATATTATCTAAACTTAAATGAAAATTTACAATTTTGGTAACACGCAATTACTTGGAGTTGTCCAAAACAAGGTTATCACAACTCATGAGCAATGCAGGGGTAAATTCAATATATATATATATATATATATATATATATATATATAACGCAATATATATATATATATATAAAAGTTAATCATTTATACATTATCGGTGTAAATTTTTTTTACACTAACAACCAATTATATCTCTTAATTGTGTCATGTCACTGTCAAAAGTAAATATGTTTACAGTGACATGACACAATTAAGAGATATAATTAGTTGTCAGTGTAAAAAAACTTTACATTGACCGTGTATAAGTGATTAACTATATATATATATATATTATCCTTGTGACTTCATTCTACTTGTTGCTATCAACACAAGTTTTACACATGAACGAGAAACTTAAAGTGCGAATGCGTTTAAACAATTAGATAATCAATTTGATGGAGGAATTTTGAGACAAGCACTTACACAATCAACATCAAAAGCTTTAGAACACAAAAGATCGTAGTGCAAACCAAACTAATTTGCATTCTTGATCTGATCAGCTTCAATACATTCGATGTTAACGTTTGGTATTGCCGTCCAGGTTTGCTAATGCCAACTTTATTAGGACAATAATGATATCACTTGGAAAGTACGTTACTAATATATTAGAACTCCCACGTTTTCTTCCATCTATACTCACTTTGCACTGAATTCATTTGGTATTCGTGATCCCAATTCAACCAAAGCACAATTGCTTTACTTTGACCCACATCCTAATACAGAACCCTTTTCTCCATTTGAGCAAACTTTTTGACTGAATTTGAAGAACAGGAGGATTATTATGCATCATCCTCGGTCAACTAGTCAACATTTTGGAACAAGCTAGCCACACGCTTGGGTAGGCTTACATACCCATCATACTAACCATAACCCACCACGTTATGCTTGTCTTTGCCAGCCCAGCATTATTTAAAAGAGCTTAAAGATATTTTTTTAATATAACTATTCATGATTCATTGTTGTACATTTATTAATTTATTTTCCATCCAAATTTAGTACGAGTTGGATATGTTACATATGGATAAGCTTTCAAATAGGCTTCACCTTCCAATTGACTTGTGGATGAGTATCACAGTATTGTCACACAAAGACTATTGATACTAGTCATATAGAAATTGATTAATTTAGTCATACTTATGCTGACCTAGTTAAGTCTTTCTTGACTTAGTCACGCTTAGGTTGATTTAGTCATCTCTTTGCTGACTAAGTCACACTAAGGTTGAGTTAGACATGTTTAGAACAATTTAGTTATGGTAAAATTAACAAAATTATGAGTAACGTATTGTACTTTGTAATAAATTATCCATATAGGATAATAACTTTCTTTGTCTTACGCTTTCTTTTTATTAGTTAAAAATAAGGAATTACGTCAAAAGTATGGTTACACTTTATCATTCTCTCATATTGTTATGTTGCTCAAACACTTAGTGACTTGGGTATTGGAATGCTTGCAAGTGGTCACCATTGTCATCCACATTGTTTGGGCATTGTTTTGTTGTAGTAGTGGTTTGTAGCATTTGTCGTATTCTTCATTCAAACATTGGTGTTGTGTGGGAAACACTTCTTCTAGTTTGTTAGAATGGTGACTACACATTCTTACATAGTTATTGACTTTGATCCCATGCTTCTTCAACCTTGGCTACTCAGGAATGGAGAAAAACCTCTATTACTTCAAATGAAAGTATGATACTTGTCACTCCACAACAAGTTCTACTTGTGATAGGTGCGGAGATTGGTGTTTCACATCGTGCGACTCCTATTTTATCCATGGATTCTAGAATAATGAATGCATATTTGTTTGCTTTGTGAATAATTTTCATGGCTAAGGTTGTGTATTACTTTAACAACAATGCAAAACCATATGTGGATCAATAGAGGCACTTGATTGTTGGAGTTATCCCTAGTGATCAATCATCTATTTGAATCATGGCTTTGCTAAAGACATTTTATTTATTATCTTAATTGCTCATGTTAGTGTTTTAATTAAGTATAACAACATCTGTAATAAAATTGGTTTGTTCAAAGATATATTAAAGATAGTTGATTGTGAGATTCTTTGACAAAGGACAATATTTTTAAAAATATCTGTAGTCGAGTATTATTCTTAACAAGGACAAAAATAATAAATTAAAATTATTATATGAGTTGATTAATGATTGCATCTTGTAGGTCATGGATATAGAGATATATCAAGTCATGACATACAAGTATAAATATTGGAGATAAATACTTATATTTCCTAAAGCTGAAATGTACAAATTGATTTTAACTAATAGAATAAGCTAAATTTATTTTACTTTTTTATTTTTCTTTTCCTAAGTATTTACAGAAAATTTATCCAAGACCTAAAACATAAAGTTTATGTTGATCTAACAACTTTTTCATTTATTTTACGAATTTATCAAATTACTCACAATATTTAATATTTATCAGAAATTAAAAAAAAGTTACCCTCTCTACCCTTTTCCTCCAAAATTATCTCTCAATCATACCCTAATATAGTAGTAGCTTCAAGCTATATTTCATATCAATAATGCCTTGATTTTCACTCCACAACTGCTGTCTTCACACAATTTTCATGATACTATGTTTCTTGAAAAGTAACAGTTAAAAGCATGAAGATACAATCAAACAAGATCAACATATACGGTTTATTTTTATTTTTTCTTTTAAATAAAGAAAACAAAAGTAACAGAATAGTAATGGGATCAATCTCTCAATCACGAATTCTTTCTGTAAGAAAGATGCCTTTATAACACAAGATAACTCTTGAAATTTAAAGATCCTATACAGTGTACACTAATAACTACTAAATCAGCATGTTAACTTTCACTTGATATCAGAGAATATATAAAGTCAAGCTTGAGAGGAAGTTGTTCCATTTTTCTCCAATTCTCTTTGTCTGGCCCTCTCCATCTTCCTCTTTCGCCATTCCTCCAAAGCTGACAACCAAGAACATCAAAGGGAATTAATTCCAATGCCAATATACTATTGTGGTATGATTTAAAGCCAACGCTGAGAATCAAAAACATCAAAAGGAATTTTTCTTTACTGAAATACCTTAGGTTTCAAAATGAGCAGCTTGAAATTGGAACAATGGATATATTGTACAACAAATTCTAGAAGAACAAATTGTATACAATAGCAGCAAAACCCCTTACATGGATCAAATGATGCCATTGTAGTTTGTAGAAAACAGTCTTTAGAAAGAACTCAAGAACAAATCCAATATTTTGAAATCATGATTTAAGCTTTGTTTATATCAGCTTTAGAACACAAATAGATAATGTCATTTCAGGGTTATAAGTTTTAATTTGGATATGACTGTTGGAGGAAAACACACAAGAATGGACAGTGAACCAGAAGAGAGTAACCTTTTCCATTATTGAATTTGTTTTTTATTACACACGGCATATACTCTATTCATAGAGCCATTGAGTATACCAACTGACTAACAAACTTTTACTTGAGTTAACTACACACTTCCCCCTAATTTAATTTCTCAAAGATACCATACCCAATTCAGCTCTAAGCTTCTCAAACCTGTCTCTCTTTAGAGATTTAGTTAATACATCAGCTATTTGTAACTCAGTGGGGTAGTAGACCAGTTCCAACCTTCCATCATTAACTTGTTCTCTTAGAAAGTGAAATCTAGTCTCTATATGCTTGCTTCTGCCATGTGATACAGGATTTTTAGCTAGATTTATAGCTGACCTATTGTCAACTAATAACTGCATAGGCTTTTCAGCATCTACTGACATCTTCAAAACTGAATCAAGCCAAATAGCTTGACAAGCTGCATAGGAACCAGCAATATTCTCAACTTCACAAGATGATAATGCCACAACTACTTGCTTCTCACAACACCAAGCGATTGGTGCACCCAAGAATTTGAATAAGCAGTCAGTAGTGCTCCTTCTATCACCTCCTGTCTCCACACCAATCTGAATCTGAGTAATCTAGCAAGTCAACTTGTAGTTGATTTTTGTTTTGAAATAAGTAATAACACTCCAAACTTCAGTGTTCATTTTATTTGATTTCTTTGGATTGCTTATAAATCTGCTGATCAGTACAACTGCACAGAAGATATTAGGTGTGCTATTGCAGAGATATCTGAAAGAACCAGCCACCTGCTTCTACAATGTACAGTCTACAGTCTCCTCTTCTTCATTCAATTCTTTGAATATGATATTTATCTCTGCTGTAGTTATTGCTGCATTACAACCTTCCATATTAAACTTTCTTAATTCCTCAGTTGCATACTTTTATTGATGAAGCACAATTCTTTTGAAGGTTTTCACAAACTCCATCCCCAAGAAATATGTCAAATTGCCCAAATGTCATTTCAAATTCAAACATCAGCAGAGTTTTCAAAAGCTCAATCTCAGTGAAATCACTTCTTGTGATTAACACATCATCCACATAAAGGCACATCAGCTGCAAATTCTCACCATTTTGGAGCTTCACATATATACCATGCTCAACTGAACGCTTTTGAAAATGAAGCTTCAACAGAAAAGAATCAATCCTCTTATTCCAGGTTCTAGGGGCCTGTTTCAAGCCATATAAAGCTTTATTCAACTTATACACCTTGCTTTTCACTTCAATTTCAAATCCAAGTGGCTGCGAAACATATACTTCCTCCTCAAGTGGACCATTTAAGAAAGTTGATTTCACATCTAGCTGAAACAAGGTCATCTTTTTCCACTTGCCAATACCACAGCTAGCCTTATTGTCTCAATTCGAGTCACTAGAACAAATATACTAAATAATCAAGACCTTGTTTTTGTAAGAATCCCCTAGCCACCAATCTTGCCTTATGCTTGGCAATTGATCCTTCAGGATTAAATTCAACTTAAATACCTATTTAACATATATTGATCGTTTTTTAATGGACAGTTCAGTTAAAGTTCAGGTCTATTTTTTCTCTATGGCCTGCAACTCTTCTATCATGGAAGCTCTCCGCAATTCTTGCTTCATTTCTTCCACATAGTCAATTGGTTCTGTCTCTGCTAACAAAACAAATATACAAATCACTTTCCAATGTTATTGCATTATCAAGGAACAATTCAAAAATTTTGAGATGGTTCACTGTTGGTTTTCTGCCAGTCCAAACTTCTTCTGGCACCTTTGTGGGGCACTTGTTCAACACATAAATTGCAATAGAAACTGCTTCACCCCAAAATGAATGTGGTAGCTTCTTCTTGCTATGTCAAGAATTGTCCAATTCCTTCTCTCTACCAAGCCATTATATTGTGGGGTATATGGAGTTGTGACTTCATGTTGAATGACATGCTCCACACAATAGGACTTAAACTCATGGGAAGTATACTCTCCTCCATTTGTTTTGAGTATCTTCAATGCTTTCCCACTTTGCTTCTCAACCATAGCTTTGAATTTTTTAAAGACTACAAACACATCTTGGCCTTTAGCGAGTATAAACACATCATGCAGCTATGTTCATCTACAAATGAAGTGAAATATTTGTTTCCTCTGAGATAAGGCACTTCAAAAGGTCCAGACACATCAAAATAAACAACATGCAACAAATTTGTAGCTCTCATATGTATATATGATTTAAAAGCATTTCTTGGCTGTTTACCAGTGAGACATTCTTTACTCATTTTATTAGGCATAGCAATACGTCCATTTACCATTTCTTTGTCGGCTAACTACTTTAGACTATTGAATTTAAATGACCAAACCTCATGCCAAAGTCAATTTGATTTGTCAATCGCAATTGCTGTGAGGCATTGACTTTCAACAATTTGGAGCTTGGTTTGAAATGTCCTGTTCTTTGAAAGAGGAGACTTCAACACCAATCTCTGACTTGAATCATATAGCTCAAGGAAATCATTCTTCATGGAGACTGAGAAACCCTTTTCTACCAATTGTCCCACACTAAGTAGATTGCATTTCATACTAGGAACATACACATTTTCAATCAGTTGTGCCTTGTTTCCCTTTCTTTTGATCACAACATCACCAACACCTTCAACTGCTTTAGTTCTATTATCAACAAATCGAACCTTGCATTGTCTATTTGTATCAAGATTAGAGAGCCAATTCTTGTGTTGAGTCATATGATTGGAACATCTAGTATAAAGAAACCAGCTCTTTGAATGAGGTTCATTATCTTGAGTTGTGCCCATAAGAAGCACATGTTCATCATCAGTGTCATCTTGAGCCATATGAGCCGCATCATCATTGTTTCTGTTTTTTTTCTTTCCTTAGCCATGCCAACACTCACTTGCATAATGTCCCATTTCTCCCAATTATAGCAATGGATCTTTCTTTTATCATGGCCTTTCTTTCCACCTCTACCTCTACTAGATCCTCCTCTCCCGTCTCTGTTTGAGGATTTTGGTTTAATATTATCATTCGACTGATCTTGATTTGAAAACCATCCCTCTTTATTGGATCTACAACTCTACTTGCCTTTCCTCCACTTTCCTTGATATGCACCCCACTTCTTTGAAACTTGAGCTTGCAATGCTTGTTCAACAGCCTTCCCAGCACTTCATGCAAATAATCTCAGGTCATTAGCTTCCAAAGAACCTTGGAGCTCCTCAACCTTCATAATTTATGTCCTTAGACTCCTCTATCCCAACCATAATGTAATCAAATTTAGGAGTGAGGGTAATCAAAATTTGCTCTACCAAATTCTGATATGTAACTAATTCTTCGCAAGTCCTCATTGAATTCACTATCAACTAAAGCCTATTGAAGCGATCTACAATAGACTCTTGATCAAGCATGGACAGTAACTCATTGTCTTCTAAGAGACTGCAACTTAACTTTCTTGATCTTCAGCACCTCCATGTGCTTTCTGCAGAATGGTCAAAGCCACTTTAGCTGAAATGGCTTTGGAGATCTTCTCAAAATTGCCAAGGTCCACACATTGATGAAGAAGGCATCAAGCCTTAGGTCTTCAATCTTCTGCTCTGGATACCACTTTGTTGGAGGGAAACACACCAGAAAGGACAGTGAAACAGAGAAAAGAGAGAGTAACCTTTTCCTATTATTGAAATCTCTTTATGGCAGACTCTATTTGTAGAGTCATTGAGTATACAAATTGACTAACAAACTTTTACTTGAATTAACTATAACAATGACACAAGTGAAGGACACAAAAGGATCAAAACAAGTGAACACAGAACTTCAAAAAAAAAAATCAATGAAATGTAATTTCACTGGAATCCATTTTAAATGTTTAGCTGGAAGAAAATACTTGCTAAGGTTATTATTTAAGTAAAGAGGCTGGTACAAAAACCTATATTAGGAAACAAAATTGGAGGCATAATATGGTCTAACAAAGGAACAGCTAGCTGCAAGTGTGCTGGAAGCAGGGTTTGCTTAAGGCATTTTTAGGGTTTGGTAGGTTTTGGGGTGAAAACAAAGAAGAAAAGAGTTAGGATCTAGAAAGTGAAAACTTGGGTAGATGATCCAGACTATTGGAAGCCTTAAATCAGAGAGCTCCAGGCTTTAAATATAGCGTAGCTAAGATATCTAAATAAAATTTACTGCTAATCCTAAGCCTTTAAAAACAAATCATGTCTCTATTACAAATAGCACAATCGAAAGATCCTCACATAAAATGGCTAATGTTGTTCAACTTATAACTATAGTTTCCCATCATTTTATTGCCATTTCACATGATAATCCAAATGTAACGGAATTGGAATAATAATTGAGTAATAATCCATGGAAAAGAACTTCATGAATAACTTTTTTTTGTGGTGACAACTGACAACAGGGAAGTGATGAGCATACACATTTATAGTTTACTGTTAGGATATAGAATAAAGGGAATTAGAGTAGTTACCACTTAGAAGGATATCATGGGCCAGGCCCATCATATCTATGAATAGGAGTTACAGGGTAAAGGGGATTCATTCATGAGTAATTCTTTGTGGGAATAGAGAAGTGGCTCTTATGAAAAAGGGGAAACCCTTGGAGGAGAGATTTCTCCCTTATTTTGCGTTCTTTTCAACCTATTCAATAAAATCTTTCTTTACTTTCTCATTTCAATTCTTGGTTCCTAACATTTACTGTGTTTCCTGAGTATTTGAACACAAAAGAGAGTCGTGATTGAGATAAGTATGTAAGGAGAAAAGAAAAACACCTTTCAAGCTGGTAGCATCATTCAAGGAACGGAAATCCTTTAACCTTTTAGATAGATCAACTGCAGCAGTCTGCTTTGTGTCTTTCTTCTGGGCTGCTTCTGGTTCAGTGTATGCTTCCTGCTCAATCTCCCTCACCTAAAACAGAAGTCACTCAGATTTACAGAAAAATGCTTAAAAAATATATAAGAAGTTAAACCAGACATGTATACAGCAGCCCTGGCCCTGCCTTAGCCTCTCCAGAGGAAGACAAACAAGGACATTGCTAAGACAGTTGAGAAACAAATATTGACCCACCAAAAAGTTTACAAATGTATTTGCTAATATAAGAATTTTAATTTTCAGATGCGTATGCCTAAAGCTCACTGTATAGAGACGATCACAGTGAAAAGTAAGCTGCATACACTTTATCAGCATACTCATGTATTAGTACTGCAAACTTCTAAATGTAATTGAACACTTAACATGCAAAAGGAGAACTTCAAGGAAAGGAAAATGATAATTATGTGTGCATATGTAGCCATGACTGCCATGGTGAGGAAACAAGGCTAAATTATACATCATTTTCACTTCTCAATTCCAATATTCAACTCAGCTACCATGATGTCTAACTTTTGAATTTTAGACTCTGAGCAATTTATTTTAAAGTAAAAGCCTGTAGATACAAGTTTAGAAGCACTTTTGAAAGTTTATCTATTGAAAAAAACTTATTTTTAATAGAGAAGCCCTTAAAATTGGAAGAGAAGCCATTAAAATTGCTTTTAAATTGATTCCAAATAAGCTCTAACTGAAAGATTAAGTATCTGATTACAATGGATATGAGGAGGCATATCAATGATGGTTTCATGTTCTATTAACATGCCCAGCTGAAGAACTAAAAATTTACAATTTATATTACTCTGATCAAACTATGTCCTGGAGTTCTGGAAAAAAAAATGAAGATTTACATAATCCAGAGCTATGAAGTCAGTGAACTGCAACTTAGTCAGACTGGTGTGTCATGGTAATAATTTCTTTCAAATTCTCATCCATTTACTGTCGGTTGACTACACAAAAATATAAATTTTATAAATAAATAAAAAACTGAGGGATTTGGCTGAAACAATACAAATTTGAGCATGGACAAGAAAAATGAGTTTAAAGAAGTATATCTTAATTTGAGTTAAGTTGATGCAGATAGACAGACAAAGCTTTCAAGTCACTGGTGCATAGAAAAATTAGTGTAGGGGAAAGACCATGTATGTGAATAATTAGAAAATGACCTCCGAACAATGAATTGAAACCCACAACAAAGTTCTAGGTTTGTTCCAGAACTTCTGAAATAAATTATCAATTTGAAATAAAAATGCAAGAATTGTTTTATTGTGTGTTCCTGTGTAAGTTATACCATTGGCATTTGAGTATCATTAATGTACAACAAGCATAGTGATAACACAAATACAGTGAACAACAAAACTAATTCCCAACTCACTCTTTTTATCAGCTCCACTGGTATCAAGGCAAGACGAATTGCTTCAGATTCCATAATGTAACTGCGTTGAGCTGCAATTTAAAATTAACAATTAAGAACATATGATACAAGCAAGTTTCACGAATAATTCACAGAATAACAACAGTCTATTAGAGGCGTTTGAAAAGTAGAACCAGTGGCATTTATAAGAGACACCTATTTTGTCCAAAGCACAAAAATTGAATGTTTTCATTCTCATTTCTGTCAGTTTAACTAATGTTAAGAGATAAAAATCAATTCTTGATCCTGCACACATAAAAAATAGAGCATTGGGTAATGGGGATAATTCAATACAAAAAACAAATTCACAACAAGGTAAGGTTGACGATGACCTTGTCCTTTGTTACACTTCAAGAAGAAAAAAATAACAACAAAAGGCAAGGTTTGGAGGTGTGGCTTGTAGACAACAGTAAACTGCATTCACTATCATCTTGTTAAAACTTAAAAGAACCTAAACAATTTTTTTCCAAGTAACAGCTTCTCATAGATGCTATTGTTTCCTTACAATCATTATGAAAATTCAGTAATCTTGTTTTTGTCATAGCATACCAGTCTAAACCCTGCATTGGATCATCTCAAGTTATTCTCTCATATTTTATATCATGTTAGGGATAGAAAGACACAAAAACCAATTATAGTGAGACCAACTATTAAATGCATAGAGACCATTAAACTTTTTTTTTTCTTGTATATTTGCTTCTCATAGCAAGCAAGGATTCAAATACAAACCCGTCTAAAACCATGTCACAAAATTCAGACACTAGCCACAAATTCAAACCTCATCACTTCAGGATCACCCACAAAGCTAATCTGAGAAAATATCGAACAACACTCGCATATTATTGTAGACAGAAAGAAAATAAAATATGACAACCACTTGCCAAGAAAACCATCTGAAACATTAGTAAATTACATACCCATGACATGACAACTCAAACTCACAATTCTGAGGTCTAAGTACCACCAACAATATCCCAAATCACAAACTATCATACAAAGAATAACTTAAAAATCAAAAGAACAAAAAGGCTCACCCCCCACCTAATCCAATCGCACAAAAAGCCACAATATTTACCCAAAAGATCACAACTGTAGGACATGATCAGCGAAATCACAAAATACCCATCATCCAATTCAACTACAAGGATACAAATTTTCACAATAAAGAAAGAAATTCTGAAAAGAAAAAAAAAAAAAAAAAAAAAAAAAAAAAAAAA